TCCCAAGCAGAGGTTGATCCAATACTATCCATCATTTTGAGAGCTGAAAATAGTAAATATGAATCCAAGAAAAAAATTGTGTTTAATATATATATAATTCAACGTTGTATTGCTACCAATTGCTTATAAACTTACCAATAAATTTTGCTCCGTAAGATGTTCCAAGTATACAGTGACCATTGTTACCCACAGCAGCTGCAATACCAGCGCATTTAGTGCCGTGGCTAAATAAATTGAAATATTATTTCTATAACAAATCAACAAAATTCATGTTTAAAAAAATTATAAAAGATATACATATATCAACTGGGACAATTTTTCCCAGCCAGAATAAAATTGTGTAAATATTATTTACATAACCATCACAATAAAACAAAAAATAAAACACCTTTTCAACGTATGATGAGTCACATATACACTTTACAGCCAAAGTAATTGATTAACATATAAATGTGATTTTTCTTCAAAAATGATTTGGAGCAAGATGATTTTGTGATTAATTAACAAGTGACATATTTATTTCTAAATATCATAACACTGAGGTTTGTCAAGTTTTTGTTCAAAATGATATATAGGACCGACGGGTCGGGCTATTTATCGTTATTTTATTCAGCATGTAATTATACATATGTGTACAAATGTCACTATAAATAAATAATTACTGACTTCACGAACAACAAATTCATTGAATGATATGTGAATGAATCCAAAGTATAATTTTTGCATAAAGTAAAAGAGATGTTTGGGTAAGTATTTATTTTTAATTTACCTATGTCCAGACTCAGGAGAAGGATTTGATGTTCCATCTATGAAATTAAAACTTAATCCAGATACCTGAAATTAATTTTTATAAGTAACTTATTATTGTTTCGGTTGTATTTTGAGTGGTTATATTAAATTAAAAGTGATCAGAATTTGAGTAGAAAAATTTAATCTTTACAAGAAGTTAATCCTTACTAGATTTTCTGACAAATCAGGGTGATTTATTTCAACGCCGTTATCAACAATTCCAATAACTATTCCCCTCCCGGTAAATCCCTGCGACCATGATGTTAAGACACCTTGATCAGGAATTGCATTAGTAGTGTTCATATTCTGTTTTGTAGAAGAAAATATAAAAGTGTTTCAGCCAAGGTAATCTAATGGATTTTCCATGCTGATTTTCATACGATACTTACAATATACCACATGTCTTTCCAATTCGGATCATTAAAAGTGATGGTTGAGTTTTTAAAACTCGAATATTGTACTGTTGTTGTTCGAACTGCATTATCTGGAGATATTAGATGTAAATGATAAAGTGATTAGGGATTTTTTTCTGGAAACGGATATATTTCAAGCGAAATATAACTAATCAATCTTCTCATTTACCCTGGATTCTCTCAACATAAGAGAAATCGAGCCCCTGCGAATATGTGCATTGGTTGTTCCATCCTTTCTTTTGAATACATAAGTATTTGGAAAGACCTACAATGAGTCCATTCAAAAGATTAAAATGGAGAAAAACCCCGATAAAAAAGTAATAGATTATATATAATCTCAAGGAATAATATATTTAAAACCTATGTAAATTATTAACACAGATTAAAGATTCACGTACATTAGAGATTAAAAAAAAATATCAAAACAAATTATTTCCATATTTATATATTATCATGACATGGCTAAAAATCATGCATTTACAAATACAACGGTATTTATCTTGGAAAGTTTTTGGAGCGAACAAGTAAAAATATAATAACTTTTTGTGAAGTTTTTCCAGAAAGGCCAATTTTTTTGAAAATGTTTTTGTCAAATCATACAGAGGTGCATGTATGCTATTATCAAAAAGTATATCTAAAATTAATGTAAAACACATGATAACATGAATTTAAAATCACTCCCCACAGACAGAAAAAAATGGGTGTGCTTGCATTTTGTTTGATATTGAAAAAAAATGAATTGGAATAAGAAAAAAATTAATACACTTAAGCAAAAACTCAAAAACACATGTATATTACCAAACTTAAAAAAAATAAGATATAAAATTCTACAAGACTCTCATCTTTATAAGAGAAAGATATTATAATTTATACTTTAATGTGAAAATATATTCATACAAAACTATAAGCACTGTGCAAATTTATGGAATCACGTGAAAAAACTATTGATGCATTTTGTGGACATTTTCTCAAAGTTAAAGACATACTCGTTTCAATTTCATTTCATAAAAGAAGTTTAAATGAATTAAAAAAACCTCTCTTACCTCATACAACAAGTGGAAGCCATGTTTATTAGCCAGTCTAAGTGCATCATACCTTCCTCCCTTCACAGAAACAATAAAGTGATCTGTAAATTTCCGTTGTGATAAAGAAACCTTTTTTATAATAATGATAATTGTCATCAAAGAGAACCATACTGTCACATTCCTCATCATTTACATCTTATTAATCAGGTACCCTTCTTCAATGCTTTTTGCTCATTGTGCAATACAAGAAAACATGGCTGACTGAAGATTTATTGTTGCATGATAAAACTGTCAGTTTTGTTTAAGAGAGCGCCCATATTGAACAATATTGATTTGACACATCTTTGACACATCTGTAGTATTTTTTAACTTTAAGAAAAAAGTATTCATTTGACTTGATTCAAAATAATTTTTCTTGTTCAATTTAAAAGAAAAATATATGTTTATTCTGAATGTTGTTAAGAAAACGTTTAATATATAATTTGTTTTTTTTTTTAAAAAATAGTTTGAATTATAATACCCTTGTATATTTTGCTTAAAATTACTTTAAAAAATGTAGAAATACAGAGTATATAAAAAGCGTTTTAATAACAACCTTTAATTGAGTATTGGAATAGTACAAGATATTATATCGTATGTGATCAAGAAAACCAGAACTACAAATGTAGACCAGAGAGATTTCAATTTCATTTTTGGAAACAATTACAATATATAAAATTATCATTAGATAACTAATTATATTAATTCTGTTTCTAATACATTACTGAATTTATCTCTCACAAGATCTTAAGCATAGGAAGAATATCGAAGCAATAATAAATGATACCTTTTAAAGAACAATAAACATCTTCGCGCTCGATGCGAGGTAACTCAATAATTAATGGTATTCGATTTAAGCCATGAATTTGTCGCCCATTTACTATCGCATTTAGAGATTTTTATTTGGGGCCGTGGATTATGTTCCTAACTACATTGCTTCGATTCCCAATGAGGAATGTGCAACTCAATCCTTCGGGCGAGAGTGTTCAAATTGAGGTCAACTGTCTCAGTAGCTATGACTGTGATCAAGAAAAAGCATATCTAAATGGAGATAAGTTTATAGAATTTATTCACAATACCGCTGTATTTATTTTGTGCGATAAAATATGTTCCAATCAATGGATAAAAAGTAAAAGTTCCGAATACAGTCCTGAATCTTGCAGTTTTTTCCAGCAGGTAGTGTCTCTAAATGCAACTGAAAAACTTCTAAAAGGTCATATACACAAACAAACAACTTGAACAAAACGAAATGTTGATTTTATACGAAGTTTACATTGCTGTAGCATCAATATACCACTCAGTTGCCAGATTCAATTTAAGAACTGATTATACCCTGTGCATACTCTCCATCACCAAATGATATGTTGAAAGGTATTATTACTTTATGAATGAAATATATGGAGATAAATGGTATTCAAGCTCAAATTGTATAAAATTTGGATCATAGTAAACACAAACCTGTAAAATACCAATTGTTGGATAAGGTGACATGGAAGAGGGAGAATCCTCTGCCGACAAGCCTGACCCGACGAGTATTCGGCGTCATTGTCGTAATATAATGGAAAATCCATCGACCAGTAAGACTAAAGATAATGATACAGCTAATGTACTTTTAAACGTCATTTTAAAAAAGATTGTTCTTAAATATACTTAGATCAAATTCTTGAGTTATTAATAAACTGCGAGATATAAACCCCTTTTGCAGACGATGAAGATCTGATGATGGAGAATCGACAAACAAATAGGTCAGACTCCCGTGGTATCTTTAATCTTAAGCTCTCTGGGAAGTAAGTATTGTTATTTGTTAATACGCCTTTAATATAATGTGGTATGATCTCTATTAGTGAGATTGAAACATTCAGTCCATCGTTTCTCCATCTGTCTCCCATATCTATCATGTAGCCTATCCACAATTTTGTTTTAATAATAGATTTGGATTGTGAGTGTTTGTGGAGATTTTTTTATGCACAATTTTTGATGATTTGGGACCTAGCCACTTACGAGTCAATCCATTTCCTCAAATGACTTAACTCTACGTTCTGCTGTAATGTTGCGGAAAGAGGCAGTCGAAAGTTGAAACTCTCAGATCGATCATCAAACATTATCAGTTGTGAATCTGAAGAGGAGGGAAGGCTTTCGTACCAGTTATTTGGAAAAGTCTGCTATGACTGAGGTATAATATAAGCGAGGCACAGGATTTGGAGGATTAAACAGTGGTATCGGTGGATTTGTTATCGCTGGATTTGATGGAATGAACATTTAGGGCACCAATTTTGGTGGATGATACAAAGCAGAGGGTTTAAACACAGAAGGATGGTAGGTACTCACAGGGTTATACACCTAGATCGATTGGTGGCGCATTGTGGTTGGTAGTTCTATTCCACGCTCGATTGCCTTTGTTGGACGTTATTTGGGGAAAAAATGGTTCATTATGTAAACCGAGGTCAGTTGTACTTTTGTAAAAATCGGAAAATTTATTTTTTCTTTTTTTTTAAAATGTGCCTCCGCAACAAGAATTTCTTTCTCCTGTGGAATGGTATTATACAGTGCATAAGTAAGTATCAGTACATTAAATACGACAAAAGTGAGGAAAAACGTTGCTTGAGTTAGATATTCATTCCTGTATTCTATGACGTTTAAAAGAAGTTTTGATATATGAAAAACAAAACTGCATATAAGTAAAATATAAAACCTACGTATATTTACAGTTCGATAATATACGGATTTTTAAACTGGATATTAAGCACAAGGGTTTCAAGATTCACCTTCGTTTTTAAGTTATTTTTTAATTGCCTTTCACTCAAAACTATATATACGTCGCGCACGGTGTTGGTGTCAAAAGTCAATAATTACTATCATGGCGGCATTTGCGCTATTTCCATAATTTTAAAACAATTCACTATATGAAAACTATATATCATTCGATCAGTAATTGTATACTAAATACATTTTAACAAAAATATTGATTAAAACATTCCAATTATTAAATATATTAATTCAACTATTCAATCAATTACGTCAAAAACGCATGTAGATCGGTAACAGGAGCGTCGCACACGCAATAACAAAATGTTGATAATTTCCATAAAACAAACAATATAAACTTAAAAATTAGCAGAAAAGTTCAAAATATGATGTAACTGATGTAAAGTTTTACAATTGTGATTTTGTTCAATCCGAATGTTGTGAACGCGTTGTTCAAAATGCAAGACAGCGATATAGATAAGCGTTATCCGAAGAAATTTTGAAGGGACATAAAATGTCATCGGTAACTTAAAAAAATAATTTCATGAGCAAAATCAATTTTGAAATGGCATGTCAATGATCCTTTTTGTGTGCAAGGAACTATATCTTAAATTAGACTGATATTTTGTGTCGATATATATGTTGGGTTTCTGATATTAAGCCGATTTATTGTGGGGACATTGACGAAGATGGTGTGTCACAAAGTTTGCAGGTTCAATGCCGCAAAGTTTTTAAGATTCGTTAAATGGCAAACTTTGTAATGCTTGATGAAAAATTGATGTTGAAAATTATTTTAAATTCTAAAAAATGTTGCAATGTTATTTAGGAAAAGATCTCTAGACAGAAAATTTAACTTGCGGTGCCTTAAATTTTAATAATAATTGCCGTGTTACATATATGTACTACATGTAGCTATACGTCACAATTGAATTTGATGGCAAAAACATCACGTTTAAATGCTACACTCCAGCAATGGCTTACATTTTGATAATTTATTTTTTTTAATTTGCACCAAACAAAGTTAAATAGAAAATGTGCAAAATCAAAACTTTATTTAGATATGAAAATGAATTGATTCTATAAGGAAGTGTTTGTTTTAGAGGCTTTTTACGAAGTCAACATAAATGTCACACATTGTCCAAAAGTAATAAATCTAACTATTATAGCATAAATTTGGTAATATTGATCATATGTGAAGTCATGGAAAATAGACATTTTGAAAATTAAAGGATTTTTATGAAATGTGCATCTTTTCAAAAAGTTATTGTTATATTCCAAAATAATTTTAATAGAATGGCGACAAAACCCTAACGAAAATTAAAAGTCAACATAAATGTCACAGACGTAGAAATTGGCGTTTTGACGTTATTAGGTTCAATACATAAAATGTTATGTAAAGCGTCAATATATTTTTCTCTCTCCAAAACTTGTACTCGTAATTTCTGATGAGCCTGATATGGATAAAAGAAAAACATACCAAGAAAGATTAATTAGAAAAATAAAGTTTTTAAAAGTTGTATTTATATATTAAAGTAAAACATGTGCAGTGTATACTTGTACATTGTATCGGTATATACCGGTGTCCTTGTCAGAATCTGTACAAAAGTACTCAGTTCGAATTAAGACACGAGAAAAAAATCACACAAACCAAAACTTATGCAAGGATATGACTTCAAATTTGAATTAACTCACAGTAAAGTGTGTCAGCTGTGTTTTATGCTGGTATAAACTACATGTATTCTATACATGGCGAGTTTACATTGAATAGTCCAATATTGAATAAGGGTAAGGGGTTGTCGGAGGTGAGTACAAATGCATCAGATTTTCATTACAAGATGGGATGGGGAGAAAATAATTCAATGCTAAATCAGCAAAATATCTACAATCGTACAATTTACTGAAAATAAAGGACAGGTTCTAGGGCCTACTGATATGATATGGAATTGTTTTGAATTTATCTCAATAAAATAAAAAGCATATAAATTTAAAGTGAGATATTGAACAAGTTTCGTTATTTCTACCAAGTTTTTTTTTTTAAATGAGGCAAACCATGCTTATATTTTCTTCCCGCAATATGTTACACGTGTTTTCAATTACTTGAATTATTTAATTGGCGGCATTATTGGGTTTTTATTTTTTTCGCCACAAAAATGTTAGCAAAAAAGTAACGTCAAATAAATTTTCTAGAACTTCACGTAAAATAACGTCATTTTGACGTTACCGAAACTGACACCAACACCGTGCGCAACGTCATTCGACTATTTTATAACATTAACTTTAAATATCAAAATGAAACAGAAATAAAATAAGCCATTCTTCCAAAAAGAGGTATTGGAAAAAAGGGAAAAATAGTGATATTCAAATTAAATGTACACTACATTGTATTAACGTTTGATAGTAAAAAAAAAATATGTGTAAAATATTAATTCCTTCAAGCCCTAAAGCAAAGCATAATGTGAATAGTGAGTAATAAATAATTATTTTTGTCAGCAGTACAACAATTTGCAAATTAGATTATTTTTGAGAACAAATCTCGTCAAAATTAAGCATGATTTCTTTCGTTGGATTCAGTGGTTTCCATCTGTCCCTCTCAGTTCCTCATAGTGACTGCAATAGACAAAAAAAAATCTTGAACAAATTCAAGACAGTTTATGAAAATGGAAAGGCATAAAGAGAATGTGTATCCTCTAGTGCATTTCAAGCGAAGAAACCAGATTTAAAACGTATTTTATGATTTGCATTCTCGTACAATACAAATAATGACACACTATGAATATGTACACGTATAATGATTTATTTGGTGAGTAATAATTTTAAAATGGCATAGACTTCATTTAAGTAAGGTTTCTGATATAACTTTTGTTGAATTTCACTAACAGTTCACTCTGTATCCTGGTAATTTTACATGACATAAAGGAATGCTATAATTACCTTTTGCTTTAAGAAATAAGGCTTTGTCTCGCTAAAAATACGCATTCGTTAGAATTAAATAAGAGGAATGAAAACTAAAATTTAGAAATGAAAGTTTGAAAACAAATTGTGGAAAAAACATCCATTTGAATATGTCAGCTAGTTGTACGCTACAAATGGGATATTTTTTAACCGTACTTTTATGAAAACATGTTACCTAAATTTCAAGTTTAATGTCAATTTTGTATATATCTTAATAATTCAATTTGTATAACATAACTTGCCTACGTCACAATGAGTTACGTCAAAAAACGTCACAAGACGAAAGACCACCTTTAAGCAATCGCTTAATGGTAGCTTAATGGTGACTTAATGGTGGCTTAAAGAAGTTAATTCCTTCAAGCCACCCTTAAGCCACCATTAAGCTGCAACTTACAGGTGCTTAATGTCCAAACTTCATTTAGCTACCATTAAGCCACCATTAAGCTGAGCTTAATGGTGACTTAATGGTCAACCCTCATTAAACTTTTACGCATCTTATATAGAATCTTTGAACTAACTTTTAGTTATTTTAATATTATTTGCGCAAAATCTATTCCAACTCATAATTCTGTCTCGATCATAAATTCTACGAGTTTTTTGTCAACATGCATAAACTTGATCACTGGGATCAAAGTTAGCTAATAGCCACAGGGGCTTGCTCGAGGTGTCTATTTATTTCTTAAAATCATTTACAGTGATAATAAAAGAAGACATCCTGTATCAGAACCGTATATTATTTTTTTTAAATAAATCATTATTACATGCGTTGTTCTTATTTTTAGTGTATATGATTTTTAAAAATAAATAATTATTACACACCGTGAGCAAGTCCTTGTGAATTATCTTACA